AATAATCACCCTTGGATTGGCTTTAATAAATAGGTCATTTACCCTCCCTACTGAATGAGAAAAACCAAGCTAGTTAAAATTAGCTATTTTTTTTTATCAAACATGCATTATGAAATGATTTACAAAATCATAAATATTCAATAATACATGTTATGTATACATGTTATCAACACACTTAAGTAATTAAGACAATTACTCAAGGTGCTCGCTCGAGGATGATAATTGATGTGTGACGAATCTCTCACAGTGAGGAGATTTAATTTTCTCGCTATGTATAAAAAGAGTAATTCGGGAAGTTTGAGTCAACAGCATTTCAGGCTTAAAATAGCAAATAGTATCAGGTGTAACACTGAGGAATAACGTGTGGGTGTTGCTAAGTGTGAGACATGAGGTGAGAGACTTGCAATGTGCAAGGCGTGAGTGACGCCAGATATAAGGCATGAGATGTATTATACTAAATATAAGCAATGCTTCGCTATATATAAGGCATAAGGCGAGTGTCGCTATATATGGGGCATAAGGAGTGTCGCTATATATGGGGCATAAGGAGTGTCGCTATATATGGGGCATAAGGAGTGTCGCTATATATGGGGCATAAGGAGTGTCGCTATATATGGGGCATAAGGAGTGTCGCTATATATGGGGCATAAGGAGTGTCGCTATATATGGGGCATAAGGCGAGTGTCGCTATATATGAGGCATAAGGCGAGTGTCGCTATATATGAGGCATAAGGCCAGTGTCGCTATATATGAGGCATAAGGCGAGTGTCGCTGTGTACAAGATGTGACGGCCATTTCACTCACTACTCTCTCCTTCAGCAGGGATTCAACACCTTTGAAGACTTCCATCGGTTCAGCGGTCACAACCCACAGGCGGCGGCGTTCCCACACCAGCCCACCGCCCACCCTCCTACACCGCACCAGGACAAGATGGCGACGCCCACACGCCCACACCCGCACAACAACTACTCCCTGACCAGTCTACAGGTATGGGGGGGCGTGGCGGAGGCCGCAGGGTTACTGTGTAGGGTGAAGGTTTGTGTGTGTGTGTGTCTCTTGGTATTAGCGTAGATCGTCACTATCGTTCCCATACCCTCACCGCCCTAGTATCTTGTGCCTTTTGTACCATAACCCACCCACCACCCACCCGCTCGCCTGAAATCATCACAACCCACTCATCATCACAGCGCTACCCACTACCATCAAACATCCCACCCCCCCAATCACACTACCTTACAACCAGTACCACACCACTAACTCATCTACCACCATTACCCTAGCTGCACATCACACTTCTCGCCCACCACACTACTCAAGCACCACCATACTACACAACGACCACCCGCACACCAACACCCTATTTGTCAACCACCCCCACCAACACACTACCCACCCGTCCGCACACACGCACGCACGCACGCACGCACGCACGCACGCACACACACACACACACACACACACACACACACACACACACACACACACACACACACACACACACAGGTTCGTTGTCTTGTGAATCCCACGTGACCGCTCTTAAATATTGATATGATACGCAAGACACCCCAAGAACACCCCACAAACACGCCACACACGCCACATTCATGTGCATAAATAATCGTTCATGCACACCAACGGGCGTTCCGGTACACCAATGTGCATTCATGTACGCCCGTGGGCATTCATTCACACCCATAGGCGTTCATGTACGCCACTCTGCGTTCACATATACCCAATTACTGCCTGCAAATATTTCATCGTCAATGTGCCTGTGAGAACATCCTCGTACGCCTCTTTACCTGCATTCATGTCCTTTAGAAACAACACACACACACACACACACACACACACACACACACACACACACACACACACACACACCGGTAAATGCAGAAACAAATGACAAGTTTTTTTTGTTCCACCTAAAAGTAAATAGGAGTTAGACAGTTGTTAAGGGCTGCAGCTGGCGCCTGACAGCTGGGTGGACAGCGCTTCGGATTCGTAATCCCGAGGTTCCGGGTTCGATCCCCGGTGGAGGCGGAGACAAATGGGCATAATGTTTCTTTCACCCTGATGCCCCTGTTACCTAGCAGTAAATAGGTACCTGGGAGTTAGACAGCTGCTACGGGCTGCTTCCGGGCCGCGGGGACCCTAAGCCCCGAAATGATCTCAAGATAACCTCAAGATGTGTGCGTGTGTATATGTAGTACATATAATAGAGAAAAAATATATCACTTAGACAGGCGCGGTCCAAGAGCTTATAGCTCGATTCGGCAAGCACAGATAGTACACACACACACGTATAGTGACCAAGTGATCAGACACAGGGAGGACACAGAATGACAAGCCAGTATGCGATGCACTGGATCACAGTTTCCATGAAATTTTGTAAGCTGGAACACATGAAAAGCTCACAAAATAAGTAACATTGAACCAAGTAAGAAAACAACCAGAGGAACAGGATGTGAGGAAATCCATAGGTCCTGCCAAGCTCTTACATATGAACAGATGTAGCTATAGCACTTTGTAACTCCCCCCTCCCATGCTACAGTACTCAACCGATCACCGGGAAATGGAAGACTATCAGACTCCAAAGTTGCTAATGTGTTGCTAACGCACACAATGAGGAAAGGCAAGAACGAGTCCACTACATACCAGCATCACTAATACCCATCCTCCTCCCCGCCCCCCACACGTTACTACACACACACAATTCGACAATCTCCTGGACCACACAAGATTTTCTTAATTTCGCCTCCAAACAACAAAGATTCACCGAAGTGAAATCTTGCTTGACAAATGTACTAAGAGTTCCATGGAAAAAATAACGGAAGTTAGGCAAGGAAATGTTGGGTAGACTGCATCTTCCTTATAGAAATCCTCAACATTGTTCCACACAAGTTCCTGGAGCTAGAGAAACGTCTCGCGTACCTGGAGAAGTTTGAGTGAGAGTCACAGTAAGGGGGAGGGAGATATTAATATACGACCTCTTACACGACCTCGAATACGACCTCGTATATCCTTCTGAGGCCAAATTAATGAGAAGAATCAGAGCAGAGAGGGATTATGATGCGCTGAAAATTATACAAGACACTTTAAAGGTGGTCTGAAAAATTACTGCTGTGGGTGTCGCCCAGGCTGAGTGGACAGCACGCTGGATAGGTAGTCCTGAGGTCTGGGGTTCGATTCCCGGCGCCGGCGAAAACAGATGGACGGAGTTTTTCACCCTGATGCCCCCTGTTACCTAGCAGTAAATAGGTACCTGGGAGTTAGACAGATGTTACGGGCTGCTTCCTGGGGAAGGGTGGGTAGAGATTTTTTTTTTAAATAAGTAATAGTTGACTGACAGTTTAGAGGCGAGCCGAAAGAGCAGAACTCGACCCCCGCAAGCACAACTAGGTGAATACACACACACCACACCATACCAACATCCCCCCCCCCTCACACACACACACACACACACACACACACACACACACACACACACACACGAGGCCTCGATAGTGTTTGGGGTGGTAGTCATAATGGCCCGGGTTCGATTTCCGGCGGAGGTGAAAACAAATGGGCATAGTTTCTTTCATCGTGATGAAAGAAACCGTTCTTTCACCGTTCACCTAGCAGTAAATAGGTACCTGGGAGTTAGACGGCTGTCACGGGCTGCTTCCTGGGGATGTGTGTGTGTGTGTGTGTGTGTGTGTGTGTGTGTGTGTGTGTGTGTGTGTGTGTGTGTGTGTGTGTGTGTGTACACTCACCTAGTTGTGTCTGCAGGATCGAGCATTGACTCTTGGATCCCGCCTTTCGAGCATCGGTTGTTTACATCGGATCGGATACATTTACATTGCATCGGATTCGTATGACGAACGTACGTGTGTGTGTGTGTGTGTGTGTGTTAGATAGAAATATATGTAGTTACTTTGCGATTACCTTGCAATGATTTCGGGGCTTAACGTCCCCGCGGCCCGGTCCTCGACCAGGCCTCATATAAGATACATAGTATATTTTATACTATAAAAAGGTGGGGTCCGAGAGGTAATAGCTGGATTTTGCAGACACAGTAAATACACACACACACACACACACACACACACACACACACACACACACACACACACACACACACACACACACACACACACACGTTCGTCATACGAATCCTGGAATATACAGTGCGTGCGTGGTGTCCCTACCATGTCAGACACAATATGTAGTTGGAGAAAGTCGGAAAGTATGCCACCAGACTAGTCCCAGAGCTGAGAGGTATGAGTTTCGTGGAAAGACTAATGTAATTAAAACCTCACGTCACTGGACGACCCAAGTGTTAGGAGGACATGTTTACTACGAATTAAATTCGCGGCGGAAATCAAACAACCCGTCATCTCAACAAATACGTCTTATTTTGTATTTAATAGTTCCCAACGTACAAATTATATAGTACTATGAAAAGTAGCAGCTCACAGATATCCACGTTTTCTGTGCATCAGTTGGGGTAACGTTAGGTGGGTGGGGTGGCTTTGGTTCTTTCGTGTCTGGTTAGGTTAGGGTTAGCACTTTGTAGTTTGTGTGTTGTGGCAGATCAGTAGGACGGGCTGGCTTGAAACGCCAGACCACATTATTTACGATGTGATGTACGCAAACAAGTGGATACATGTGGAGACTATCAGTGCCCAAGCGACCTGCAGTGATTAGAAAGCATGTCAGATGTTTAGTTAAGGAATGAAATGTGCCAAGATGTAGACACCAGACTACAGAGTGTGTGTGTGTGTAGACTACATTTATGTGATCATACACACAAATATGATCGACAAGAATAGGTTTGGGAATACGTACACTTGGGTAAGTACGCACACGTAACCGTACATACATACCTTCCCTCACGCCCTCCACACACACACACACACACACACACACACACACACACACACACACACACACACACACACACACACACACACACACACACACACATACCATACCTACCAAACACCCACCATCATTCACTAACCCCAGGCACCCCACGCCCACCCCTGCGTCACACAGCAACCCATGGTTCCATAGGTGAGGTATTATTTATGCTGTGAGCATGTCAGCTGGTGCTCCAAGGCAAGTCACATGGAGAATTGGAATATAAAATACGTTAAAGATGAGAAACAGTTGAATTTTTTGGCAGTATTTGGTCTGTGTGACAGTCAGAGAGCCAGAAGATGTTCCTTCCTCTCAACCCGTGTGATACACCCCCCTCTAACTCCTCCCTCACCCCTCCCCCCCTTATCCCCCCCACTCCGTCCCCCCCTATCCCCTCACACCCACAACCGTCGATAGGCTTGTGTTGGTTCATTCGCGATTCCTATCCTAAAGTAACGAGAACATTAACATTTAACTCGAGAACTGTTAGAAACTAGTAAAGTTCACATATTTGTATATATTATGTTAACCGACCAACGAAAGCTGTGAAGTCAGTTGTTGGTACAGAGTTTAAAGACGGGACTGAGAAGAGTGTTGTTCTGTGGTAGCGAGGGGCGCTTACACAACCCCCCGTTTTCCCTCCTCAAGGTGTAGTGGTGGTGCTGTGGTGGTGTAGTGGTGGTGTAGTGGTGGTGTAGTGGTGGTGTAGTGGTGGTGTAGTGGTGGTGTAGTGATGGTACAGTGGTAGGGTAGTGGTGTAGTAGTGGTAGGGTAGTGGTGGTGGCGTGTGTGTGAAGGTTCACAGTGCCAGGGTTCACGGGTGTTGCTCACTAGCGGCCTCCCCGCTGCCCTGTATCTCTCTCACCTTGTCAACACATGAGGTTCGTTAAACTGTGTGTAGATTGTAGCTTGAAATCTAATCAAAATTTGTTTATACACAAAAAAATGTCATATCAATGTTATTTAATGATTATTTTCATACATGCCCCACAACCCTTGTGGTGAGTGAGTGAGTGTGAGTAGAAGCGGGCGTGTCGGGTGCTTGCCCCCAGCCCTCACCCGTTTAGTGTGAGCTGGAACGGGTGGTGATCTGTGTGTTATGGTGGTGTGTTTCAGGCCATGTCCCCGGCGCACAGCGTCCACAGTCTGTCGCCGACGCAGCCACTAGGGGAGGGCCACTATCCCGGGCCTGGAGGCGAAGCCCACCAGCCCACCAACAACTATCCAACACCTCCCACCTCACAACCCCCGCACACTGCCCACTCCGCCCATACTGCCCATTCTGCGTCCAGCAGTGAGCCAAATATGCTCAGGGCAGCATTAACCCACCGAGAACAGCAGCAACAGCAGCAGCAACAACAACAGCAACAAACACACAGCCCCGGCAGCAGCGACACGGGGGGCGGGCCGGGCTCTGGCGGCGGCGGTGTGTCGGGGGGCGGTTCCGGAGGCCCCGTGCATATGCAGGACTTTGTGGACTTCGACACCCCCATACAGGGCGGCCTGGACTGTAACGTTGAGGAGGTAGGGGCCTTGTCTTGTGGTGGCGGTGGTCCCAGTAGCCTGAGGTGGGCCGGTCGCAAGACCCGCGCCCTACACCAGGAGACTGGACACCCCTCACAAAGTAGTAACAATTAGTATAAGTTAGTGGATATTATTAACACACAAATCCGTATAGAATCCACGGTAGGAAGATGGGGGGGGGGGAAGAAGCAACTTATTGGACCTGTAGTTTTGAGTTTTACTTTCTTGAAAGCGTTTTTGTTTTTATAAATTAGATTATCCGTTTTTAGCAGCAAATTTAACTCGCAAACCATACAAAAGAGCATGTGTCAATAAGAGCTCCAGCAAAGCAGTTGATACAAACAAAAATTTTATTTTTTTATTTACTGGTTGAGGTATTCCCTTTTTTCCACACAGTTAAGGCAATAAATTCAATCAGCAGACACGCACACTGACTCTGACCTAGAGTTGATGCCTCTGCCCAGGAGGCCGCCAATCAGTAGACTTGACCTCCCCTCAGACCTCACTCCACACCCATCACTCAGACCTCAATTACTTCTCAAGTCAACCAGTCAGTTGCTCTCACAAGCCTCTCTGTCTCGATACTAAGTTCGGAGGCTACGGGAACGATAACAGTGCCTTGTTATGATAGGTCAAACACATATATATATATATATATATATATATATATATATATATATATATATATATATATATATATATATATATATATATATATATATTTTAGGATGATAAGAATCTGCTGTGTTGCTCTTGTCATCAAATGTTGTGATCAATGTCATATGAAAGTTTCACCAAAGTAACTCACTTGGGAGAGTTCTTCAGCAGTTCTGATCATTGACTATCTGTTAAGGAAAGGTCAAAGTTTGCCTTTTACAACGCTTTGCTGAGTTATTTGTATGAGTTGACGGAGTGTGCAGCGTGTGTGTGTGTGGGTGTGTGTGTGTTAGCGCGCGCGCGCGCGTGTGTGTGTGTGTGTGTGTGTGTGTGTGTGTGTGTGTGTGTGTGTGTGTGTGTGTGTGTGTGTGTGTGTGTGTGTGTGTTAGCGCGTGTGTGTGTTTACGGGTGTGTGTTAGCGTGGGTTTATGGGTGTGTGTGTGTTTGCGTGAGTGTGTTAGCGTGTGTGTGTGTGTTTTCGTGTTTGATGGCGTGTGTGTGTTTTCGTGTGTGATGGCGTGTGTGTGTTTTCGTGTGTGATGGCGTGTGTGTGTTTACGTGTGTGTTTGCGTGTGTGCATGTGTGTGTGTGTGTTTGCGTGGATGTGTGTGTTTGAGTACGTGTGTGTGTATGCGCGCACACCGCTAATTCAGTGCTGTAGTGAAAGGGGAAGAGGGAGAATGTGGGAAACACCACTACTCCAGCACTATAGTGTCAGAACACCACTACTCCACCACTATAGTGTGAGAACACCACTACTCCAGCACTATAGTGTCAGAACCACTACTCCAGCACTATAGTGTGAGAATCACCACTACTCCAGCACTATAGTGTCAGAACACCACTACTCCAGCACTATAGTGTCAGAACCACTACTCCAGCACTATAGTGTGAGAAACACCACTACTCCAGCACTATAGCGTGAGAAACACCACTACTCCAGCACTATAGTGTCAGAACACCACTACTCCAGCACTATAGTGTCAGAACACCACTACTCCAGCACTATAGTGTCAGAACACCACTACTCCAGCACTATAGTGTCAGAACACCACTACTCCAGCACTATAGCGTGAGAAACACCACTACTCCAGCACTATAGTGTCAGAACACCACTACTCCAGCACTATAGTGTCAGAACACCACTACTCCAGCACTATAGTGTCAGAACACCACTACTCCAGCACTATAGTGTCAGAACACCACTACTCCAGCACTATAGTGTCAGAACACCACTACTCCAGCACTATAGTGCCAGAACACCACTACTCTAGCACTATAGTGTCAGAACACCACTACTCCAGCACTATAGTGTCAGAACACCACTACTCCAGCACTATAGTGTCAGAACACCACTACTCCAGCACTATAGTGTCAGAACACCACTACTCCAGCACTATAGTGTCAGAACACCACTACTCCAGCACTATAGTGCCAGAACACCACTACTCTAGCACTATAGTGTCAGAACACCACTACTCCAGCACTATAGTGTCAGAACACCACTACTCCAGCACTATAGTGTCAGAACACCACTACTCCAGCACTATAGTGTCAGAACACCACTACTCCAGCACTATAGTGTGAGAAACACCACTACTCCAGCACTTCAACAGTGCGTTATCTAGCCTGCCTTGCGTGAGGGGGAACACTTATCTCTTTTTTGCTCTTGCTTTGCTAGATAGTTTAGAATAAGTTTTTAGTTTTTAGTTTAAATATATACATTTGAGCAATATTATATAAGCATTACTGCAGTATTTTAGTGTTCATTTTGGTAGGCGAGTGATGTGTTTTGGTGCGACGAAAGACGTTTTCTGTTCACATTTAGATCTACTGTGACTAAAGTTTATTTTGATCGATTTTGTTACAATAAAAGTTCAATAAACTTCATATAAAGCTCCAATTTGGATGTCGCAGGTCAAAGTTCAAGGTTACAGTTGCTCTTTATACAAATCTGGACGATTGTGGCAGAATTCAAATACAGCATTTTCTGAATATTAAATGTCTGCTGTACCCGTTTCAGGTGATCAAACACGAGTTGCAAGTCGAAGGAAATCTGGATTTTTCATTCCCACAAGCTCATCACGGCCACCATCACCACCACCACTCCCACCACTCCCACGCACACACCCACGCCGTCGCCCACGCTCACGCCCACGCCCACTCTCACCCGGACGCCCCCCAGATGGCAGCACCGCCAGGGATGTACCCTTGCTCGTCGATCGCGGCGGGAAACCACTGGGTCCGCTAAAGGGGTGAGTAACTCTTCCTTGTCTTTCACTGTGTTTCTCCTCCTCCTCTTCCCCCTATTATGGTGCACGCTGAAGAGCTTCACCTTGACGCATTATGGTGCACGCTGAAGGGCTTCACCTTGACGCATTATGGTGCACGCTGAAGAGCTTCACCTTGACGCATTATGGTGGACGCTGAAGGGCTTCACCTTGACGCATTATGGTGCACGCTGAAGGGCTTCACCTTGACGCATTATGGTGCACGCTGAAGAGCTTCACCTTGACGCATTATGGTGGACGCTGAAGAGCTTCACCTTGACGCATTATGGTGCACGCTGAAGGGCTTCACCTTGACGCATTATGGTGCACGCTGAAGAGCTTCATCTTGATGCATTATGGTGCACGTTGAAGGGCTTCACCTTGACGCATTATGGTGCACGCTGAAGGGCTTCACCTTGACGCATTATGGTGCACGCTGAAGAGCTTCACCTTGACGCATTATGGTGGACGCTGAAGAGCTTCACCTTGACGCATTATGGTGCACGCTGAAGGAGTCTTCCTTGCGCACACAGGCGTCAATAGGGCGCCATTTTGTTTTCCAGCCTTCGTAACCTGTAAATGCTTACCATATTGTTCCTCAGGGTTTGTGAGAAGTGAGACAGATATGGAGGGTCTCGCCACACACCTGGCTCGTGGCCTCACACACACCTGGCTCGTGGCCTCACACACACCTGGCTCGTGGCCTCACACACACCTGGCTCGTGGCCTCACACACACCTGGCTCGTGGCCTCACACACACCTGGCTCGTGGCCTCACACACACCTGGCTCGTGGCCTCACACACACCTGGTTCGTGGCCACACACACCTGACTTGTGCATGACCTCACACATTAATGAGGTGCTTGAAGATACTGAAGACTAAGATATAAAGATCTTGTTTTGTGGCTACTGGTCACCAGTTGTGTAATCCGGCTGACTAGTGGTGGTGGTGTCAGGTTGACCTGTGATGTTGTGGGTCATGCTGACCTTTAATGGTGGTCGGGGGTCCAGCCGGCCAGTGGTAGTGGGGTCCAGCCAGGCAGTGGTAGTGGGGGTCCAGCTAGTCAGCCAGCCAGTGGTAGTGGGGTCCAGCCAGCCAGCCAGCCAGTGGTAGTGGGGTCCAGCCAGCCAGCCACTGGTAGTGGGGTCCAGCCAGCCAGCCAGTGGTAGTGGGGTCCAGCCAGCCAGCCAGCCAGTGGTAGTGGGGTCCTGCTAGCCAACCAGCCAGTGGTAGTGGGGGTCCAGCCAGCCAGTGGTAGTGGGGTCCAGCCAGCCAGCCAGCGGTAGTGGGGTCCAGCCAGCTAGCCAGTGGTAGTGGGGTTCAGCCAGCCAGCCAGTGGTAGTGGGGTCCAGCTAGCCAGTGGTAGTGGGGTCCAGCCAGCCAGCCAGTGGTAGTGGGGTCCAGCTAGCCAGTGGTGGGGTCCGGCACGTCGCTCGCTCTTCAATTATTACAATGTTTACCTCAGTCACGTGATTCATTGGGGAGAGGGGAGGGCAGTGAGTGGGTGTTTGCGCGGGGCTCGCCGCTCCCCACCATTGTCTTCATGACGGCCTGTTTATCCCTCACCAACCGTGGTATATAAATATCGCCTGTAATATTAATTCCCGGCCCCGCCACCCTTACATTGATGATGCCCGCTCTGCTACAGAGACAAATTGTGTGCTAAAGTTCAACAATTAATCAGAGCAGAGAATCGCCAGTGCACGCTCTCTCCATCCCCCCTCCTGCCCCCCCCCTCCTTCCACCTCTCCCCCACTTGCAAGCCAATACCTCACAACCCACTAACCTCTTAAGCTCCATTAGCCTCACCTCACCTCATCTTTCCTCCACTACCTTTGCCCCAGCCCTCCTCCCTCCCCCCTACAAACCTCTACTGGCTCCAGCTCACCTCTTCTCAACCTCCACTGACCTACTCGCATATCCGCCAACCTCATTCACACACCACCAACCTCTCCATACCTCTATTCCACCCTGCTCAGCCTCCTCTCACTACTGAAGCTTCCGCCTCACTTACTCACGACTGAGCTTGCCTCTGCTCCACACCCTCACTAAGTAACGTCTTCGAAGAACTGGTCAACTCTTCACGGTGACTTGGCAAACGACAACATGGCCGTTGCCTCACAGGTGGGCCCGCGAGGAGGAGGAGGAGGGGACAGGTAGATACAATTACATCTCACGAGGAAAAATAGAAGCAGGTGCTTCAGATGAAATAGATATACAACACCAGGGAAAGAATATACAAAAAACTTGATTTAAAAAATCCAAACACACTTATGTTTATCGAGAGAATGAATAAAATAGCTATAACTACGTAATTAAACTGAAGGTGGTTGACATCTGCGAAATAGATACAGGAAAAATGCAGTTACCATCATTGCAAGAAATGCATAAATGTGTAAGGAAAGATGTTTCACTAGAGGACACATGAACACTAAGACACAAGGTGCTCAGATCTTCAAGTGAAAGTTGCGGCACATTAGAGAGCGAACCACGAGGAGGAGGAGAAGATAACTGCAAAAAAGTATCATTTGCGGCCTCGATAAGACCAGCGCATGACCAACTGAACGACTGCACGGTGCTAGAACATGCACAACCAGTTCCAGTGATCACACCCGCCTACACACTTACACCTTTGACGTGCAACACCGCTGCAATCACCTTGACTAAGACACACAACGACTCCAAATCCACCACACACTGGGACGAGATAAAATGCTGAAGGTCCACCCTAAAAATCCCATTCACAATTATTCAAATTGAGTAACTTCATTTATGTTTGTCAACATACAGTCTGAAATCAAAGACGAAAAACTAATTTCCCTTCATGAATGACCTTACAATAGGTCATTCATTGAATGTATGGCAAATGGGGCATTCACAGAAACCCATTGTAAGGATTACGTGATAGTATAGTTTGGATAGCAAGTTGTAATGTGTAGATGTGGCAGTAGATAGGACGCAGGGAAGAGTAGGTCTATGTGGTAGACTTACTGTCCACAACCAGCCTCCCTCTCCCTAGGCCTTCCCCTGACTCGGCCCACACACAAGGTTCCCCCCCACTTACCAACACCAGCCTTGCACGGCCTACACCCCACTAACTTACCTGTACAGCAGTTGATTGAAGGTTGAGAGCCGGGACCAAAACGCTGATGCTCGACCCCCGCAAGTACAACTAGGCGAGTACTATCCCTTCCCCTCCCACAGTTGTCCCCTCCCACTACCGACAGCCTCTTCCTCCCCCTCTCCTCTCCCCCCCCTAACTCTCTCTCAGTTTTTCACCAGTCCTTATTAATTAAACCAAAATTCCTTCCAACTCCCAACCGCATTATCCATCTCTCCGCCCTTGTTCACCCAGGCTGTTGGTGGCGGCACTACTTTCTAACCTTGTCCAAACTGAATGTTGGCACCATCCCCTTCCCCCCCTTGTCCACCCTGACAGGGTTGGGGCCTAGGCCAAGACCGAGGCCGAGGGATTGGGGCCAACGGCAGGCCCAGGGGCCAGTGTTTGGGCGCAGACAATGCTCCCGCCATATTAATCCATCAGACGGCGATTTCTTAGTCAAGAAAGGCAGATCAACCAGGCATCATTTGTCACCTTGCAACCCCCCCCCACCTTCACCCACCGTGGTCACCACACTGCAGCTGCGGGGGGGGGGGCGCCGCCCCCTCAAACCACCCATGGTGCCAGTCCTCCACACTGGCCAATACAACTCTAATACGTCAATATTTCCACATCAAGAGCAGGGGTTGTTAATTGAGGGTATGGGGAACCATATAATGGGGGGTATGGGAACCATATAATGGAGGGTATGGGAACCATATAATGGAGGGTATGGGAACCATATAATGGAGGGTATGGGGAACCATATACTGGCATTATGGCCCTAGTTTTGAACAGTTAACAAGTGAGTTACATTAAAATCACATACTGTATCACAGTCAGTAACTGTCCCTCGAATCCACGTTTCCATGCCTCAAAACAATAGTAAAAATCTCCCTAGCTACAGCGAACGTGCGTGCGTTTAATTTTTTGATTTTCTATAAATAAAAATAAGATTCTTATGATTTGCTTCCATCTGTTCTGGTCCCAGTTATTCATATGTCAAATAAAACAAGGCTGTTGACAAGTGATACTGGTATGGGACTGGTGGGCGCTACAGTCTGGCAAATGGGGGGTACTGGGAGGGACTGTAATCGTGAGAAGGTTCTGTAACTTGACTTCTTCCTTGAGAAGTAATTCTCCACCTACTTCACAGACACCTTCCAAGACTACTCTTCACCTGTCGTGGAGAGAGCAGCGACAGAACGACCTGACGCTGCTCTCTCCACGGTCAGGAAGAGTTTAGAGCTAAGTTTTCCCCCGCAAAAGTTACCGTGTACAAATCATTCTGAAATTGTTTGATCACCCTGGAATAGGCGATTAACTGTGTTATGGGTAGAAATTTAGTAATGAGTTGATGCCAGGCACATGTTGGCAGCTCCTGCACCCCTCCCCCATCCCCCTACTGGCCAAGGTGGAGGGCGGTGGCAGCATCTACCTCTTCTGGCTAAGGTGGTAGATAGCAGCGTCTACCCCTTCTGGCCAAGGTGGTAGATGGCAGCATCTACCCCTACTGGCCAAGGTGGTAGATAGCAGCATCTACCCCTACTGGCCAAGGTGGTAGATGGCAGCATCTACCCCTACTGGCAAAGGTGGTAGATGGCAGCATCTACCTTTTCTGGACAAGGTGGTAGATGCCAGCATCTACCCCTACTGGCCAAGGTGGTAGATGGCAGCACCCACCCCTTCTGGCCAAGGTGGTAGATAGCAGCGTCTACCCCTTCTGGCCAAGGTGGTAGATGGCAGCATCTACCCCTACTGGCCAAGAGGGTGGAGGGTCGCACCCCCCGCCCCTTGTCTCAGGTTCACGTCACACAAAAATTATCCGCCAATAATTCCGACATGTGAGAGAAATTACTCCGGAAAACCCGCGGTATAAAACGATAGGCTCCGTCGAGATTGAAGTTCTTTATGGCAGAAATTAAT